GCACGGAAAAGCCACATATTCCATTTTATTCTACCTATTTAACAAGCTACTTTCTGACAAAATAACTATTATCATAAAAACTTTCTTTTAGAAATAATTAATTAAAGGAAAAGTAAATTGTTTTTTGTCTCTCCTGAAAGTTTTACCGATTTGCAGTTACGTCGATATTTCACCGGAACGGCGATATATACAATGGCATAACAAACAACTAAAATAAATATTCATGCTTGACAAAACTACAGAAAGTTATAAAGATGATCGTTATTTTCATTTTACCTGGGTAGGTATATTTACAACATTTATCAACGTCTTTTTACGACAGCTATATAATGTTTCATTATTACCACTAAAGCATTTGATGGTATACTAAATTTAATATCAACACTGACCAACACGTTGTTATGATTTTATTAGTAATTATATTAATAATAGTTATGATTCCCTGGCCGTTATTAAACAGTTTAATATCATTATCTGAACAAGTAAGTAAATAGGTATTATCTTGAAAGTCATAATAATGCTTTTAATGCTTATAACAGGAAAATGGTGCAAATTTGATTTTTTTAAGAATGGTATTTAAAACAGAAATATTCCAGCAATGCTTTAGGAATAACGCGGCAATATGTCGTGCATGTATCGCACAGAGTAGACGTATATCACGGTGCTGCTGCAATTTTAAAAAATTCTTGTGGAAACAGTGCAAATATAATAAAATATTATATTACAGCTAAAAGAAGTATAATCAATAGTGTTGCAAATAGTGAATTCTGTTTTAAAAAGTGAATAAGAACGCAGTAAGTGCAATTAATTTTTTCACAATGTCTCCAACCCGACAACAGCAGAAAGGTGAAGACGAACTGCACGCATCTATTAAAACTTTGGTAACAAAACTGTGTACTTCTGACGATTTTATCAGTCAAATTACTAAAACAATTACCTATAATATTATTGAACATATGGTTGAAAAAATAGATGATTTAGAAGCAGTAAACAAAACCATTTTAATTAAGTTACAGAAACAAGATGAAGTTCTTCAATCCACTATGAAGATCGAATAACTCGAAGTAAAAATTTGAGATTCTACGGTGAAAAAGAAAATGACCGTGATAATTGTCTAAAGCTTATTTTGGATATATTAAACACAAAAGTGAACCAAAAATTAAATCAGGAATGTATAGACTCTTGTTTTCGAGTGGGACAAAAAGAGAGTAAAAAGAACAGACCAATATTAGTGAAATTTTCTAGTTTGTTCTATAAAAACGTTATTTATAGCAATAAACGTTTGTTAAAGTCTACAAGCATATTAATAAGAGATGATTTGTCATCTGAACAAATGAAAATTCTGCAGGCCTGTGGTGCAAGATTAGGAGATAATGGTCAAGTGTGGACAAATGCCGGCAATATATTTGTAAAAATTATAGACGAAGATGTTGTCAAAATGATTAAAAATGTGAATGAACTTGATTCTATAAGAAATTAATACTCATATTAACTTGTAGTAAGATATTTTTATTTTTTTAAGTAATTTAATATTTTCTTTTTTCTCTCTCTTTCTAACATTGCATATTTTAATGTATTCGCTAGGTAGAACTATGTTGTAACATTTTAAAATAATTTAGGATTGCTTTTTTTGTTGTTATCTTTTTTCTTTGTTTTTCTATTATTGCACATTAAAATATAACTTTCAATTTTGAACCACTTTTACGTATCAAATTTTTCAGTTAATTTTTAGGCACTAAGGCACTAATTTTCTAAGTTTGGATTAATCTGCGGCACCAGGTACTAAAAAGTTGCACGTACCCAAATATTTTGTGTATTTGCTTAAAAGAAACAGTACACTCGCTTCGTTTGTTTTTAATTTTTTAGTTAGGTATATCGGGCGATAACTTTTTAAAATGTATACTTTAAATATCGGATGTTTAAATGTAAGGTCTTTGATTCCCTCATTACATGAAATTGAGAATATTATTAAAACAAATTCCTTCGATATTTTCTTAATTTGTGAAACTTGGTTAAATACATGTATTAGCAGTAATCAATTGAATATAAATGGTTATGAATTATACAGGGCGGACCGTAATGCAAATGGAAAAGGATTATGTATTTATGTTAATTCAAAGATAACATGGGAAATAATTGATTTTAATGAAAATTATATTTGGGAACAATGTTGGGTCAAAATTAAAATTAATAAAATAACTATTGCTATTGGAGTTGTATATAAGCCTTCTTTTTTAGATGAATTTGAAGATGTCCTAAGGTCAGTTTTTGCTCTTGCTGATGAAATACGCTGTATGGGCGATTTTAATTTAAACTTGTTGGAATTTGATGATTTAATGGTTAAAAAGTTTTATTCTTTACTGGAATGTTTAAATATGTCTCAGTTAATAGATGTACTAACTCGGGTAACAGCTACTTCGTCAACACTTTTAGATTATGTTATTGTCAGGGAGGAGGCTATAGTGGAGACGGGAGTTTCGCATCATAATATTTCAGATCACCTTATTTACTATGGTAAGTTAAAAATAAATGGAGAAGAACGGGGCCCCAAAATGTATACTTATAGAAATTTTAAGCAAATTAACGAAGAGACTTATATAATACATCTTTTTTTAGGATTTATGAGCAAGAAACTGTTGATTTAGTTAATTGTTTAAATCAATTGTTTGATAGGCATACGCCTTTTATTACGTCGAGGATGACTAAATCTAGGGTCCCTTGGCTAACTTTTAATATTAAACAAATGATACGTGAAAGAGATAAGGCTTTGAAAAGATTTAGAAATACAAAATCAAATATTCATCTTAACTTTTACAAGGAACTACGTAATTATGTAAATAAAGCTATTATTCGTGAAAAAAAAAAGCTTACCTAGCTTATTGATTTAACAACAGTATGCCAAAAGAAATGTGGAATACTTTGAAAAAAAAAATGAATTGTTGAGAAATAAGCAAGTAGATATTCCGAGTCATTTACATGACGTTGAAAATAGTAATCGGTTTTTTATTGATTCTATACCCATAGCTGAACCACGTGAACAAATTTTGCAGTTTTATAACAATAATAGCTTACTACATCCAAATTTTGTTTTTAAGGAAGTTAATGATTTATTTGTGTACAAAACTATCTGTAGTATAAAAACAGGTGCTGTTGGTTGTGATGGATTAAATATTTATATGATTAAGCTTTGTTGTCCTCATATAGTATCATATATAACTCATATAATTAATTTCTGTTTAACTGAAAATGTTTACCCTGCAATGTGGAGGAGTGCGGTTGTACGAATTCTGCCAAAAAGCCAAATCCAGTAGATTTTAAAGATCTTCGGCCAATTAGTATACTACCCACATTATCAAAAATTATTAAACGGGTAATGGGATTTCAAATAAAAGAACATCTACAAATTTTTTCCCTAGTTCCTCCTGTTCAATCCGGTTTCCGGAAAGGATATAGCTGCACCACTGCTCTTCTTCACATTGTAGATGACATAATTAGAGCAACAGATAATGGTAAATGTACGTTTCTTGTTTTACTTGACTTCAGCAGGGCATTTGACACTATCAACTATGATTTGCTTACGTCTATATTGGGTTATATAGGATTTTCTAATAATGCCCTCATGCTAATAAATAATTACTTGAAAAATAGACAACAAAAAGTTCTCTTGGACGGGGTGAATTCCACTTTTAAATCATTAATATCAGGAGTGCCGCAGGGTTCAATACTGGGACCATTGTTCTTTTCTATTTATTCTTCACAACTCATAAAACATTTATCTAACTGCAACATTCACTTATACGCGGATGACACCCAACTTTACTACAGTTTTCCTCCCCAAATGATAGAAAGTGCTTGTAATGCCTTTAATGAAGATCTTTGTACATTTATCGACTCGGCCAGAGATCACTGCTTAGTTACAAATCCCAGTAAATCAAATGTACTTTTGTTTGGATCTAGAGTCAATCGTCAAAAAATTTGCAATCAAATCAATATTAAAATAGATGATGAAAGTCTTAATTTAGTAACAGAAGCTGGAAATCTTGGGGTAATAATGGATGCAGAATTGCGATTTGAGAAACATATAAATAAAACACTCCAACGAGCGTATATTGCTCTTAAATCAATTTATGGTATCAGGCGTTTTTTACCACATCAAATAAAAAATACTCTTTGTGAATCACTAGTTTTGTCCATATTTAATTACGCTGATGCTCTCTATGGTCCATGTTTAACTGTCCAATATAAGAAAAAAATTAAAAAAATACAAAACTGCTGCCTCCGTTTAATATTTGGGACTAGAATACGTTGCAGAATCTCTCATAAACTAAAAGAAGTTGGTTGGTTAAACATGGACAATAGAAGAGTATTGCACTTTGCCTGTTTGTTTTACAAAAAAACCGTCCTACCTCCATAGAAAAATAACATTTCGGATAAACGTTCATAATTTAAATATTAGAAATAAGGGCTCTTTAACTACTCCTTCTTTCAAACTTGTAATATTTCGACGGTCATTTAGTTATCAGATCTGCTATATTTTGAATGGAATTTCCCAAAAAATTGTAAATCAAAAGGCTAACAAATTTAGATTATTATTAAAAGAACATTTATTTTATCATCAAAATACATAACAATATATTTTTTTTTGTTTCTAACGCCCTACCTAGAATTAAAATTAAATTTAAAAAAACTGTAAATTATAATTTATGTTTTTGTTTATAAACTTTTTCTGTAGTACCTAAGGTGCATGCACGATTTTAAGGTTAAGTGGAAGAGCAAGTTTTATGGAGTATATCTTCATAAAAGTTGAACTTCGCCTTTTATTTTCAATGTATATATTGTATTGTTATACCGATATTGTAAATGAAATAATTTTTTGTATTGAAAATAATAAAGACTTATTATTATTATTATTATTATAGGAGATGTCAACCAAGTGGTATAACAAAGTTCAGCGACAAGTTCGTATAATAAATAATGAATAACGTTAATGGCTCACTTACTTCAAGTTCAAGGCCGCGCACCAAAAACAATGAATAATAATCATAAACGTACAAATTTTAGTCATCTTCGGTTCTCATATCTGAACTCAAAGTTATCTCTTGCATGCAAAATTAACAACTGATTTAATAAAATACATTAAATTTAATGCAATTTTGTTATCATCGGTTCATTTCCTTTCAACTTGAACTTTGACATATGTTTAGCCAATTGTATTTTATTAGATATAGATTATAAATATGTGTTGGGAAATAATCCTTTATTAATAAAAAATAAGAATCGTTGAAAATATATTTAATAATAATAATCTTATTCATCATAAAATATTAGAAAAGTACTTACGTGCAAGAATACAAATTGCAGTGTCCAAAAAATCGAAAAACTAGCCAAGCCAAAGATATTTAATACTGCCTGAACAAAACAACATTTTTATTTTCGCTTAACCTGTTGTTGTGCTACTATCACGTATATGTTGTGCATTTGATGAGAAGAAGCATGGCATGACTGAAGCACAGTTCTTTTGAGTTAGCTTACTTTCATTATGGAATTTGTCAGCCATGAATCTAAACTGTGCCTATGCAACTAGTAAATTTGACCACAAATATTTATCTTCATTACGTTTTCAAAAACTACCAAAACTGTTTCTTTCTAGAAACAACAAATTATTTACAAATTAAGGAATTAATAAATCAACTCAAGAGTAAAAAGTCTGTAGCACCTGAAAACAGACGGAGCAGGTCAACTCGGCGATGTAAAGTCGGCGACGGTCAACTCGGCGATGCCGAGTCGGCGATGGTCATCTCGGCGATGGTAAACTCGGCGACGATCAACTCGGCGAAAAGGAATACAATAATATATTATTCAATTATTTATTATAATACAAAATAAGATACAACCTATAAAAAAAATTTGATTGGAGAATTTGATTAATAAAATAAAAATATATAAGAGATTTTAAATAAGAAACTGGAAAAAAGTTATTATTACTAAAGTAAATCAACATATACAGGAAAAAATATATTAAATATTAAAACTAAGAATCTGAAAAAGAAACTTCTTGATTAAGAAATTAAAATTTAATGGCCAGAGTTGTTTGGAGTTACAAAATTAAGGTGGCAATAAAATCAATTAAGGATCTTAACTACAATTAGGGTTTTTAATACCTAGTATTAGAAAGCAAATAAATATTAAGGGCTTAAGATTTTTCAAAGCAAAATAAAAATAAGATTACCTTATAATTGCCTGCTTAAGGGCTTAAGATTTTTCAAAACAAAATAAAAATAAGATTACCTGATAATTACCTGCTTACTTGTACCTACATCCTATAAAAGACTGGTGATATTCACTTTCCTTAATATTCCGAATTCATCTCAGAAGTAAAGACATTGTGTGTAATTTTGTTTGTCTGTGTGAGTTTTTTATTTACTGAGACTCAATATGGGAAATAAAGTTCTTAGCCAAAGGGGTCACGAAAAGTACTACTGGGATGGCTACCTATACACGAAGGATAAAACGAACAAGGACAACACCATTCAATTCTGGCGCTGCGAAAACAAGCATGAAAGATGCAAAGGAAGAATATGGACCAATATTATGGATGGTTCTTTCAAATGTATACGAAATGAACACACATGTAGTACGGTAGGAAATTCAGCAAATGTTGTTCTGCAAAAAATGAATACCACTGTGAAGCACCTGGCCGCGACAACGATGGAGAATCCTGCCCAAATCAGAGGACGAGTTTTGGAGAATGTACCAGCTGCGGTTAAAGGAATGCTTCCAAGTTCCAGTGTGATGCGGAGAAACATTCAAAGAGTAAGAGTAACCATGTGCAAAGCACCCGCCAATCCAGAAACTCTTAGTGAAATTATCATCCCAGAAGTGTACTCGCAATATTATAACAGCCCTACTCAATTTGAGAATTTTTTGCTGGCAGATTCCGGAAGAGATCAAGTGGATCCACATCGAATTCTAATATTTGGTAGAGAATACCATGCAACATGGAGTGCAAGCATGAAAGAATTATTTGTTGACGGCACATTCTTATTGTGTCCTCCACTTTTTTGCTCAAATATTTGGTTTTCTGTAAAGAAAAGATACGCATGAAGAGAAGGGTCCAGTTTTTCCTGTACTATATTGCTTGCTGCCCAATAAAAGTGCAGAAACATATCTCAATGTGTTTAACATGATAAAAGTTCTTTGACCGCAATTAAATCCGGAAAGCATCAGTGTCCACTTTGAGTTGGCAATTCACCAGGCCGTAAGACAAGTTTTCCCAGAAGCCGAAATTAGAGGATGCTTATTCCACTTGGTCAAAAATCTTCGAAAGCATTTATCTTCTTGCAATCTCCTAGGAATGTACAATACTGATCCCGAATTTGCACTACAAGCTAAAATGGTAACATCATTGGCATTTGTCCCAGAAGAGGATGTGATTGAGGCCATTGCCGAATTGGAAAATGAGTTGCCAGAAATATTAGAACCAATTTTAAAATGGTTTACCAGCAATTATATCGGTCGACTTAGGAATAATGGAACCAGAGTGCCAGCAACTTTTCCATCAGCAGTTTGGTCCGTTTATTTTCGAACATTGAATGGACGAGATACGACAAATAATTTTGCAGAAGCATGTCATCGCAAGTTGCAACTGGCTTTTGGTTCTGGCATTGCTCATCCTTCGTTATGGACATTCATAGATAATTGAAAAAAGTACAGTCTTAGTACGATGCAGACTATGAACGAGCAATTGCCGGGCGCAATGGCGCATCAAAAAAAAAACGTTATGAGGAAGCCGACGAGAGGATTTTAAATAAAGTGGCCAATTATAACAGGCAAAATTTGATCGAGTATTTCAGAGGGATATCACATAATTACAACATGAATTAGTTTTTTTATATTATATTGTATTATAATAAATATATGTATTATAAATAATTGTAATGTGTATTATAATAAATAACAATATTCTATAATCAACCTTTTTTTATTTCAGTTTTTATTTTTTAATTCCGTTTTAGCATATAATATGTTACTTAATTTTTTTTATTTCCTAACCTAATATTTTAATATATTATATCTTATTTTTATTTTGCATTGAAAAATCTTAAGCTCTAAATTTTCCCTTAATATTTTAATTTGCTTTCTAATAATATGTATTAGAAACCCTAATTGTAGTTAAAACCCTTAATTGATTTTATTGCCACTTTTAAAATCTCTTATATATTTTTATTTTATTAATCAAGTTCTCTAATCAATTTTTTTTATAGATTGTATATTATATTGTATTATAATAAATAATTGTATTATAATAAATAATTGCATATTATATTATTGTATTCCTTTTCGCCGAGTTGATCGTCGCCGAGTTTACCATCGTCGAGTTGGCCATCGCCGACTTGGCATCGCCAAGTTGACCGTCGCCGGCTTTGCATCGCCGAGTTGTCGCGTACCGAAAACAGATCATATGATTTAATAAAATATATCTATCCGACCAATTTGCTAAGATCATTATTCCTTTAGTATTAGTTTAGCTTTTAATACCGGTATACCTTTTTTATTGTGGATGATTCTAAATTAAGAGCTTACGATTATCGTTCAATAATATAAATATTTGCAATCCCATAAGAGGAAAATTTACATTACAAACTGAAAGATTTATGGGGCAAGGATAGTTTAGTAGGTATAAAAATGACAACTTATGACAAAATTACTTCCGAGACAAAATCAGCATTCATTCATAAATTTTACAATTTCATGTAGATTCGAGGGATACATATTCTAAACTCTAACTCGCGAAGTTGAGACGAAGGAACCGAAAAATATTCCATAATAGCACAAGGTTCTCAATTCGTCGGTATATATTTTTTTATGTATGTTCAGCGATAATTCTTTAACACGGTATCCGATTTCATTTTTTATGTATGTTTAGCGATAATTCTTTACAACTTTGTCCGATTTCTATGATTTTTTTTTAGTAAGGGATACCTCAGGGGTGGTCCCATATACATTTGGTTTAGATGGGGTGGTCCCATATACATTTGGTTTAGATGTGGTGATGGCATATGCACGATTTTGAAGTCGGTTTTTGAAATTTTTAATTTTTAATGCTTGTACAATATAGTATGGTGTAGATTAAAACTTATTTTGACTTTGGTCTAATACACAAATAGGATTTTGCAGGGAGTATTTTTTATAATTATTTAAAAAAAAATTTAACGTAAATATCTGGGTTTCAACCATCCACATGACAAGATAAAAATGCTTACCCCCCATTTTTGCTTTTAAATTAACAAAAATATACTAATAATTAATTAGTAATGCAATGGTTTTACAGGAAAGCAAGCATAGAACACAGTCTCTCAACTCTCTTAGTGCTGAAATATATGTTATCTGTTTGACTCTCTAACATAATTTTATACAGGGTTTAGAGATTTATCCGCTATGAAAGCGAATAATGTTTTATAAGGTGTATTACTTTAAGATTTTTTTGAAGAAAATAAAGAAATAAGAAAATATAAACTATTTATTGAAGATATAAGCTTTGTAGAATACAATAAATTCCCATTAAAAAAATAATTAGAAGAATATAAAGCATAAATTAATAATATTAAAATATATATATATAAGAACAAAACATGCGGTATAAATATCTAAATTTTTGATGATAGTGCCCTTCTGCACAGTCTAATTTTGTGGTACCTCCGGAATAAGGGTAAGTCGTTTTCTAGAGCGAATATTTTAATACAAATAATAATTGTCAGAGATTAGAAGAACGTCCATAGTTTAGCAATACATTTGCTCCTGTATACTACATAATATGTCCTGGATATAGAAAGTCAAAGTAACAAATACATGAGACCAATGTAAACGGATAACAAACGGTCACATGACATTTTACATTTTTAAATAAACTAGGTTTTAAAAAAAAATAGTTTCTATACCTGTTGTGGAAAATGTATATATTTAGTTTCTCCTCTAAACATTTATAGAGGTGCTACAATAGATTGTACAAAATAACCGGAAAAAGCCTATAATAACTAGATAGGAAAGTCATATTGTAGGACATATCAGATTTTTTTCATCTATAAACATTGACAAATTTTAGAAAA